CTAAGTTTTATGGACATCTTCGACATATGAGAAATTAGAGATGAGCGATTTTAGGGTGGGTATCTTCAAGATCTGAAACCTGAAATCTATCATGTTGGGATCAATTCTAGTTTTTGGAACCTGGAACCTACCATGTCGGTCCGATTTCAAGGTCTAACCGCAAATCGACCAATTCCTTTTTTTTTCTTGTTACATCTTTTTATTATTCAAAAGGACAAATTTTAGTAAAACGCCTCCTCATAAACAAGAGGTAGAGGCTGCAATAACAAGAATACAAAGTGCAAGTTAAAACTAAAAGGAGAAAATCAGGATTTCTTGATCCAGTTCACTAGTTAGATATGGTTCCACACCCAAAATCAAGAATCGGATCAATAATAGGTAGTTCCAAAAAATTGAAACCGGAAATCGTACCACAATCGACTAGGTAGGGTCTACAATGAATCAGTGCTCGCCCTTAATAGATCTTCCAAGAATGTTTTGGACTTTTTAAATGAGAGGCCTAATTGAAATGACATACATAAACAATGATCTTGTCTTTTTGGGTTTTGATGTAGAAATAGCAATCCTAACTGCGTATGACTTTTCATTGTGTTTACGCATAAGTTTAAGGGTGCGTTTAGTTCAGCTTTTGGGAAAAGCCTTTGGAAAAATGTAAAGATTTTGGGTTAAAGGAGTTTTCTGAAATGTAAATAGCGTTTGGTAAAGTGTTTTTTTTTTTGGTCGGGTGGTAAAGTGTATTTTAAAAGGGAAAAAGCCAAAAAAAAAAAAAACCCCCAAACTATACTCATTATGATATATTTACTTTGAACTTTTTTTTGTGACATCAAAAACTCCAAACTATGTCCATTGTGACACATTAACCTAAACTTTTTATTGTGACATAAAAAACCCCAAACATGTACCTATGTGACATATTTATCCTCTATCAATGTTCCGTCTGATGACTTTTCAGCCAAAATAACGTCGTTTTTATTTCGCTTAAGTCACGTGAGTGTCATGTCAACATTATTTACTTTCTAACTTCCATGTAGACAGATTTTTAATAGTTCTCATTAATAGAACTTTGATCGAGGGTAAATGTATCACACAAGTTTTGTATCATGAAAAAAAAATTTAGGGTAAATGTGTCACAGTAGGTATATTTTATGATTTTTTGTGGCATTTTCCCTTTAAAAATACAATGAGAAGCAACTTTGACTAAAATGCCATTTGGAAAAACCACAGAAGCTACACTTTATAAAGAACTTTTGCAAACTTTAAAAAAAAAAAGCTCTCAAACTATTTGCTTGCGGTACTCAGCCGCCGGCAAGCTAAATCGACCTCAGGCAAGGCTGCCTTAGGTCATGTGACCTCAGGCGAGGCAACCTGAGGTTGTGCAACCTCAATCGTTGCTTGGGTCACGCAACCCAATCACCAAGGCGATGCCGCCTAAGGTCGCACGACCTTTGGCGTTGCTGGCCAGCACCAGATCTGGCCTTGTTGGAAGCCTGAACCCTCGTCAGTGAGGTCTTTTAATATAGGCCATTTTCGAAATTAAGAATTTTGAGCGAGGGCAAAATTGGATGAAAAAAATTGTATTTGCATTTCGAAAATGCAGCATTCCAAAGTATCCCAGGACCTAAGTCCTTTGGAAAGATTGCATCTCCCTAGAGCTCCCCAAAAATTTTGCCAAACGCCATTTGCATTTGGCCAAAAGACTTTGGCAAGACCGAATCAAACACACCCTAACTTTGACGATTTGCTACCTTTGAGATCCTCATATATACATATGAAAAAGAAATAAAAAATATTTAACAAAGCACACGCGAAACACTCGCACGTTCACTTGTAATAGGCTACTTAAAATCGGGTCTTTTCTAGTTTCTCGAGAGACTGATCATTGTCGCGATGCTGGGCAAGTTATACATTCACGACCCAACGTTGATCAATCTCCTGAAAAACGATTATGGAAGGATCGTGGAAACCCTACTGGAACTCGTCGAACACAGAACCGTCCACTTAGGTGAGGCGATCTTTCCGCCCCCAACACACATTGGATAATCAACATAGAACACGGACCTCGAGCAATGGAAAAATTGATACATTTACCAATCGTGGAGCAAGACGAACATGCTTATCAATTGAGCCACTCCTCAAACCGGCGGTACAATCTCTCCCAGAGTTTTCAAGGGTTAGCATCATTTGAGCCATCTATAAGTTAATAGAACCAGCTGGTGGAAGATAAAGAGAGAGTTATTGCCACACTAAATGCACTGTTCTACCTGCTGTTCAAGGCCACATGATGACGCCTTGAAGTGCGTTAGCTGAAGCAGCTCAACCCCATTTATTGACGTTGTCACTGTCATATTGTCGAACAGGTGAAAGATTTGTCCAAAGTCTTCTTCCCCACATCAAAGTTACCAACAAGAAAGGGCGAAGAGCAAATGTCACAAATTTATTGCTTTCAGCTACGCGCAGCTCTTCAATGTCCAGTCAAGCAAATTACCTTGCCATGAGGCTGAGGCAAATCAATGAATTTTGACAGAACTTTGACAAATGCTCATGTTAGATGGGTGTGCGAGCGCAGTGTCACAAAGTCAAAGGACAGACATACGAAAAAGAAAGAGAGAGGATTGATTGATTCATGCATTTTCATGGAAAATTTCTATTTTTCTTAGGACATTCAAAATGAGTACAATTTCAAAATTTCAGGCACCTCAAAAGAAAACCAAGTATACAGGATTTATTGCCTTCTTCCGTTTCCGAGTGTATTGAGTATTGCTCTATAAGTGTCTAGAATAGGTTTTCAATCGTTATCCGTACCCTCTATCTACAAAACTCGTATCCCAAATTACAGAAAATGAATAAGTGTAAAATTTCACCCATGTACTAAAGAGTTTTTTAATAGGGCCATATTGAGAATTTTTTTTTTCCTCGTAATTTTCTCAGCAAATTAAAATGATTGAGATGAATAACTCTAAAAAAGTAATGAGTTATTGCTTTCTCAGCAAATTAAAATGATTGAGATGAATAACTCTAAAAAAGTAATGAGTTATTGCTATAGGTGCATCAAGCAACCATTATCCTAGCAAATAGCAATTGAACAAGAGTATGTGACTAATGTCACTGCATACTCATTTATACACAATTTAGGAGAGTTAACAAGCTAAATCCAACTAGCTGAGTCTTCAATGACTTTCCCTTCCAGAAAGGAAGCAGAAAGATTTCTGCAGTCTAACCACTAATCACAAATTAACAGAGAGAGGTAAGTCTTCTTTTCAGTTAACTACCGGAACTAGAGAGACTAAAACTATAGGGAGAAGACTTAGATAATGAATATGTGGTCAAATTGATGTACATATGTTTAGGAAAAAAGAAGAGTCAACATACTGATCCAGAAACCGTCAAATATGAGGGCAGAGAGCTAAAAACTTAACCAAAGAAAATATCCTAGTGTACTAATTGGAGACACAACATACAGACTTGAAGATCACAGGTCCATTTCAATATGTGAAAGTTCCAGCATAGCGCAATAGAAGTTGAAATAGTAATGATTGTCTACAGAAAGAGAATTAAGTAATGCTAGGGAATTTTAAAAACAAGATACAAAATGGATTTACCATGTGATATAGGAAACTGTATTCGGGATCAAAACAAATTGACCATATTCAACCATCCAAAATGAGTCTTGCCACATCACTCGCCAAACCAGTTTTAGTATGTCTAGCAATATTTTGGAGATATAGAACAAGTCCATACAATGTTCAAGATGACTCCATACAAACAAAAATAATAACTTAAAATGGGAACCGCCTCAAATGACCAAAACATGATGGGAGAAAAGTAGTTAAACAAGTTTAATCACCCAATCCTTCAAAACCAATTAATAAGCCACACAAGATTGGAAAGCGGACATGGATCGAGTGGAAGAATACCGAGCATCCCATATTTCAACAGCTGAAGTAATAGAAATGACCTCAACCTAGGCTTCATAATCTGAATTCGTCTATTTCGTTATACTATTTCGTGAAACTGCTCGATCCTACACTTCCAAATAGCAGTTTCTTACATCCTCCGTCAGAAAAGAAAAGAATGCTAGAGTAGGACTTGCCTGCTCATATGATCCTAGATCAGGAAAGTTGTAGGACTTACCTGCTTGCGAAGCAGCAGTCCCCCATGACTGAATTTAGCAGTACCTTGCAAGCACGAGCTCTCTTCATGTCTTCATGATGTGTGAATGTAAGGCATACAGCAGAAGCGGGACGACAAAGGAAAGCTCTCACGATATACTTCTCATCCATTTTAATAGCAATAAAATCATGCAAACCGATAAAGTTTTTCTATAACACAAAAAAGCGAAAACTAATATTCTATCTGCCAAAGGTTGAGAATAATCTACTTAGATTAATTACCAGAATGCACGAGAAAATGGAAAAGTTATATACTCATAATACATCGCAAAACATGCATCAACCACAAAATTTCCCATAGGATGAATCCATTCCCTGCATAAGAATAGTAACAACGTATGTCGTGGCTTCGCTGGAAGCAGTGCATAAACATGACTTGAGCAGAAAACACTGACTGTAGAGCTGCATAAGTTTCAGCAAGATGAACATGGCAAGCAGCAAAAGAAAGAGATAGTATTTTACTAACAGAGCGGTTCAGGCAAACTAACCATCAAAAAATGTTTTGCATGCTGTGCCCTATGCTGTTCTAAGTGAAGTAGAACCAGGAAACAACTGCTCATGAACAAAAGCTACATAAACTACAGAAAAAACTATCGAGCACATTATACCCACAACATTAACCAGTTCTGACTACAAGCCAATGCTCCAAGAAACACAGAAACCACAAAACACGAAGTCACCCTCCAATCGCCACTAGTATCTGGTTATCAATGTCACCCAATACTCACTTAGCAATAGCCACTTACAATCCACAAACAGACAGCTCAGTTTGGCCAAGTAAAGCAGATGGTTCAGTATATTCAAAGTAGAAATTGAATGGAACGATGCGAATGACAGGAAACTGAAGGGAAATTTTCATTAACGAGTACATAACTAATGACAAATTGTTTGTGCCACTGCTATACATAGACCAATATATACATCTCCAGCACAGAGATTAGGAATTGAATTTGTGAATTGAGCAGTCAAAACTTTCCATACCTTTCGATAAAGTACAAAAAGCTACAATCTTCAACAAAAGAAATCTTCAGTGTAAAGAGATTGTGTACCCACCTCTACGTGTATCATTTTTCTTCGTGCAAATATCTAGTCATTAGCAATGTACTCAACTGAGGTAAGAATGCATCTGCCATTCCAAACAGTCTTCGAAATCAAAACTACTGGCACAGTCCAGCAATGCATTCTGTTGATGCTCATATCGACATATATAATTCAACCCAACAAGTAGCTCGCATATTACTGCCTCAGCCTTTTCCCTGTCTGCAAAATAGAGTGTCTGGAGCAAAAGAACATTTGTTCGGGTAACAATTTGATGCTGCTCAAAGTTACGCTCACTTTGCCACCTGATCATGTTATGCGCCAGTGGGGCAAGCCACCTTAGTATCTCATCAAGTCTCTCTTTCCAATTGTGGGCAAGCGGAGCATCATATATAGCCAAGTTCTTCACATATGATTTCAGATTAGTCTTCACGGACATCCTTAAGCTTGTTGGTAACATCTGATATAAATCATCTCTAGCTTCTTCGCCAACCAAGTGAGGATATCGCAGCAGCTTCTCTATAACAATTATGAGATTTGCATAATGCAAGGCTAAAGCAGAACCTCCCACAGTGGATGGAGAGGCAAAGACTGCTAATCTACTCTTGGGACCGAACTGAGGATCACCTATGACAGCCGATTTGGATCGCCTTTGACTGCTGATGGAAGACACCGAGAAATGGGATTGACTAGCACAGTCAGAATACGTCGATTGTTCTTTCTTTATGCTTCCATTGAAAATACTGCCGCAACCAGAAATCTGGCCGCTTCGGTCGTCATGATCCAACATATCATCATCATCTATTCTCGAAACCGAGCTGCTCAGGCTAAGACAATCCATGAAAATTCTCCCAGGGCTAGTCACACATGGAAAATTAAAGTCTTCAGCGCGGAATAACTCCACTTCACCTCTCCGTGTATCAAACTGAGGCTTCAAACCAATTCGTCCTCTCTCAATCATGCGTTTCTCAATTGGCCCTGAATAAAAGCTATTGCTACTTTTGCTGTGAATTCGTTTCAGTTGCCCAGAAACCGCATGGACATTCTGGTGCACATCACCAATCTGACCAGAACCATAAGAACGGTTATTCATCACTGGAGGAGAATTTCCTCTAGCAAACCCTGAAACATCCCCCCTCAAAGCGGACTCGCCAAACACAGCGCAAAGCCTCGCATATACCGTGCACACTGTCCTTGCCAAAAGCTCTACAACCTTATCATACGTCTGGTTCCAAAGAGAAACATCCTTAAGATGCCTCACGTCTTGCTTCTGCCAAATCAGCTTCTGCTCGAAAGCACGTCGGCTCTCCTCATGCTGGTTATTCTGGAACTTCTTCGTCGCCTGCTCCAACTCGTTCAAGACCTCCATTTCATTGAACAAATTTGTTGTCGTGCCCACGTACCTCTCCATCTTCCTCACCATCCCATCCATGTCCTTCACCAAGAACCCCAAATCCTTGACCTCAATCACTCCATTCATTATATCCCCATAGACATGCTCAAAACCCTGCAATGCGGGCTCACTGCACTTCTTACCGAGCCGAGAAACAACACTAGCCACCCGGCTCAGGTCATCGAGCTTCTCGGCCAGGACGAGCTCTAGAATCCGAGACTCATCCGACGAAATCAACTTCCTCACCCCCTTGGACTTCAAGATCTCACTTTGGAGCTTCAATATTTCCCCATCACACAAGGACTTGTGCAGGTGAACAGTTTTGGACATTACATTAGCTACTTCAAAAGAGAGAATCCCAATAACCTGCTTAACCTCGGGCCTCTTAAGGTTGCTCCTTTTCTTGGAACTTTCTAAGAGAAGAGCGTGCTTGAGATTCGAACTCACCTGATTGCCCATCTTGAGTATCCAAGGCTCTGCAACCATCGCTGCTCAGGATATTTCACAGAAATGCTCCCAAGATCTGAAGCAGCCCCAAAACAACCAACCCCTCCACAATTCTCTACTCAAAAGAGGCCGACTGAAACAAGAAACTCGATCCGGGTCCGGCAAAAAACAGCGCCTTTTACCGGCGCCCGACTCAATGTCGACCAAATTCAAGCGCAGCGAAGATCTCCGGGGGAGAGAGACTCGTGAAGGGTGCCTCCGAAAATATTGGCGCTGCTCCAAAAGTATGTATTTTGTGGAACGACGGAAGCTAGACCAGACCAAAACTACGCCGAAAGTCACGAACTTTGTGTCAGAAGCAGGGCAGTGGAGAGGGAGCTGAAAGAGCAGGAACAGGGGGCTTCGAGAACCCCCGCGTGATGTCGGCGAGGGAGTGTTCAGTGGAGGCGTGGAAATGGGTCGGGGGGAAAGAGGGAATGATGGAGGGAAATGGAGGGAAATGGAGGGAACAGAGAAGGGGCGAGAGAATGATGAGAAGAAGAAGGAGAAGAAGAAGCAGAGGGAAAAAAGGCAAAGGAGAGAGAGAGCTCTCAAGAAGCTTAAAAATTGCAGCTTGGGAACGACAGAACGACAGAGAGAGAGAGAGAGAGAGAGAAGACTGTGATTTCTTTTGGCGTTCGAAAGGGCATGGATTGAATTTTTGAAAGCAGTCAAAAAGGGATTTTTTACTTTTCTTTTTCTTTTTTCTTGGCTCTTTGGAATGAGCTTTTTTTTTTTTTTTCCTTTGTTAAGGGATGATGACATATTTCTCAATGTTCTTGCCTCCAAATTTATTTTTTCATTATGCATATGTCTTTTGCTCTATTTTTTTTTCTCTTTTTGTACTTTATGTCGTTCCGAGTGTTTTGCTTATGTAGTATTGGTTAACCACTCCACGAGCCGAGTCTCACTTCTTTAATGAGAAATTACAATACGATATTAAGGCGAAACATGAAATTACTCGCACCTGGTGGTGTAGTAAATTGGACCGGTCGCCTACACCTAATTTATACCTCAATTTTTTCCTGAGATAATTCGGAGGAGTTGGCAATAGAATGATCGAATTCGAGACTTTCTACTTCTTTTTCGGGAGAATGGCTCGTTCTCCTTGCTGCTACGTCAATCCATTCTTGTTTGTTTACTCCAAATTCTTATGCTTCCACAAAATAAAAATCCCAATTTGCCTAGGCCGGTGTGAGGGGTTTTCATTTAAATATAGATAGATTCTCGACCAACAAAATTGTCACACTAACCTCATGAATAATAAGACGTAAGCCAAAATCTGAATATTGGCTGAAACTTGAAATTACTTGCACTTGTGGCGTGATAAAAGAAATCAAACTTGTCTCGTATGTCTAATTTATTTGTGATTCTCCTAATTCACTAAGTCGGTTTAGATGACATTTTTTTTTTGCTTTTTGCTTAATATGGATTATGTGCTTTGCGCACTTTGCTTATTTTTAAATTCAAAACACTTGAAATCTTCACAATATCCAAGTATTAACATATAAATTCATATATATTTACTCATACATTTTCAATTTGTTAAGTATTTTTTATTTTGGCGAGATAACAAAAAAGTTTTTTTTAATTTGTTTGGGGGGTTTTAACTTCCGACTTACTTGTTTTGTTTTAAACTTACTCTAATATTTGAAAATTATGAAAGACTGCATTTTATAGTTTTCATCGACGTTAATCATAAAAGCAATCATTTAACTGAAAACATATATTATATTGCTGGTAGGAAGCATCTGACTATTTTCTTCAAAATCTATAAAATAAAAATAATATTTAAGAAAATTATGAAAATATCACATATGACTATACATGTAACTAAAATATTTTCAAACACTTTTTAAGTGTTTCGGGTCAAATAAGATTTGCATTATGAGAGCCTAAAATTCCACAAAGTAGTGAAATTAGATACTGAAATCGCCTAACAGAAAGCTTTGACCGTCTCAAAAGTCTTTGGCCAGCTATTATTTTGTCCTTTTTTTTTTACTCTCACCTTTGAGGCAAACCTGTTGGTGTCGTGTGAAAAAAAGAAATTCGGTACTTCCGTCGAAATATTGACGTTGATCTATTTACGGGTTAAGTTGTTTTGCGTGTCTAGATAGACACTTTTGTTTTTTGCTTATAAAAATCTTGCAATAGACCCATTTAGACTTTTTTTAAGCTCGAAACACCTAGAACTTTGACGGTATGTTGATTCCCACATATTATTTCTTTTGAAATTTTGATAATAACTTAAATTTTGATGGGTAAAGCAAAAAAAAAAGAGTACTTCTGCTTCAATTCAAGTGAAAACAAACAAGCCCCGAAATTGGAATTTCCTTTGTTTATTCATTAAACAAATGGTCGGACGAAATGTCGTTATACCTTCATAGAAGAAAGTGAATGTGAAAAATCGTATTATCTTCATCAATCCACTTCAATATAGTATCAATTAGGGTTTGGGAGATACTTCTCAAATTAGGTAAGACTTAAAGATGATGGTTATGGTCATTAGATGCCATAATAACCCTACGTCGATATGGTGCATGAAGGTCAACTCACGGGACAAATTTCTCGTGAAAGACATTAATTATTCAACACTTTCTACCATAATCATGGCGCTTCTTCTCTCTACATTACCTCCATAGATTCCGGACAAATCACCAAGAAATTACCTAGGTATACTTCTATCCATGACTGAGGAAGCTACGCTTCCACTAGTCAAGCAATTTGCCAGAAAAGGTCAAAGCAAGAATAGTTCAAAAAGACCTGCATGTCTTCAATAATCAAATTTTTCTGGAATCCCCACTTTGTCCTTTTTGTTAATCTAATCCGTGCAAAACAAAGGGGGGGACAGAAAACGGGGGAGATTTGACGGTGGGTCCAAAATTGTTTCATGCAATTTTTTTCACAAGAGAGGATGTGAAGTTTGACTTGGGTGTGATAGCTGCCCCTTTTTAAGACAATCCCACTTTTGCCTCCAAGTGCCTCAATCATCATGGATAGGTTGTAACTCCTCCATCTACCATCTCTCTCTCTCTCTCTCTAGAATATGCAAGCTAAAGAGGGTGTGAATGCTTTGGAATCTTAGAATAACAATGGAGACGATGTGGAAGGAGGGAGATGTCAAAATTTCAATATTTGATGTCCCTTTCAATTGCAATATCATCTTGAATTCAGAAACTGTGGGTTTATTAGACTTTCTTTATTTCCTATTCTTGATTTTTTTGGGGATGATAAGGAGTTTTTTTGTAGTGACAAAGGATAAAAGAAGAACTTGTCAAAAAGAGTTGGAATCGTAGTGGGAGTAGGTGTGCTTTTTGGATTAGGGGGGAGGATTTACTTAGACCACCCACATGGACACATGGGCAGTTTCCCCAAACCAAAAAGAGATGTCCAAATCCAAAAGCAAAGCACATGATGACAAAAAGAAGAGATGGGGATTGATTGTCATCCTATCCTATTTGCTTTGCTAAGCCTATATGAATCACGGGTTTGGTTTTTTAGGGAATAGGTGAGAAACATAACTTAAAATTTTGGCTATGGCTATCCATCAATTGAGGATTTGAGATTTTATTTTGGTTAATTAAAAATTTAAGGCTCTAAAAAAAGTCCTAATCAAGCTTTGAAGTCACTATATGTGTCATTTCCGACATATGAATTCTGTCGAAGGCGAACAAGAAACTTGATTATGATTTTCTTTAAAACCTTAAGTTCACTATTTAACGGCCAAAATTGTAAATTTTGTTTCTACACTTATTCCTTTTCTTCAGCACATAGGTGTGCTGCAAAATGTGAGTACAACCTTTTGAGTTCGTGATATTACACGTGAAATAGGTCCCGACCTAGTTGAATGTCGGTGTGTAGCAATAGGTCTCGCAATTCATCTTAATAGTTTACAGCATATTGAGAATTGATAAGTGGAAGTAAAGGAAATAAAATTCAGCCTGCTCCGAAAAATAGATTTGCTTTTATAGCTTATATGGCAGCACAAAGTTAATTTCGAATGAGGTCAATTTTGAGTCTCATTATTTTTCCAAAGATGTGATTTGTTTCCTTTATGTCAATAATAATCTTCTTAATTTTTGGCGTAAAGACAATATTAAACCATTAGAATAAAATAAATCGATGCCCCCCCCCAAATTATTTATTAAAAGACCTGTTTTGTAGTTTAATTACAAGAATGCTTTTCATTTTTCATATGGTCGGTCCAAAGAGAAAGGGACGTTCATTAGCAAAAACAACAAATGATGGGGACCATAGCTTTCATCTGTCCATTCTATTTACAAACATCATGTTTGCCTTTTTCTTGTGAAATCACGATCGTTCATCTCTAAGGATAAGGGACGTGCGTTGTGATAAAAAAAATATAAAAAACCAACTGAAATACGAGATCAATAACATATGTAAAATAGAATTTTTCTGATATCTTTTCTTAATGCTTTCTCACAATTAATATTCAAAATTAATTAGCCCTCGTGTATAAAACAAGATATGCCAATATAATCGGAAGTTATCAAAATTTGCAAGTATAAGAAAAGAAAGGCCAGATATTATTGAACGGCTTTGTTATATGATAGTTATTTTTAGCAATAACTTAGTTCTCTTGAAACCATAATATAGAGAAAGGAAAATTACCCATTCATTTCTAAACTTATCATAAGTATGCCAATTTAGTCATAAACCTTCTAATTTTGCCAATGTAGTTCTAAACCTTTATGAGACATTTCAATGTAGTCATTCCGGCTACTTGCCGCAAAAAATTTGTTGGCGTGATGATTCATTTGTTGTCAACATCGGCATGCCACTTAGGACGAACGATGATGATTGGATGCCATGTTAGCAATTTCCGGCAGCAATTCGCCAGCAAGACTACATTGGAATTTCGCACAAATATTTAGTACTATATTGGCGAAACTGAAAAGTTTATAATTAAATTAGCATATATACGATAAATTTATAACTGATTAGGTAATTATACGGTAGATTCATCCAAAATAATAACCTTTTAGGATTTCATTGGGTGGTACGGCAGGCCATCACCATTGCCATAAAGATTAAGAACACATTCAAAACTACTTTTTCATGGCCCGACTTTTGGGATTTGTGCGATATAATATTGAACTTGAGGTTTCATATTTCCGTGAAAAAAGAAAAAAGAAAAAATCATGATCGTCTCGACAATTTTAACTTCAAAAAGATTGATCGACCAAACAAATATCGTAACAGGACTTCGTGTCATCGTAAACTTATTTTACCATTGTCCTTACTTATGTTATCAGGTGTATGAATGACAACATTTTCTTATGATGGAAGCTATAGTTTTATTCTTCAGACCATATTCTATAAATTCGAATTTAAAACACTTGGATCTCCAACCCATTTTTCTTCTTTTTTCTTGCTGCAATTTAGCTCAAACTTTTTCCCCAAGTTTTACGTTGACACACGGCAAGAGGGAGAAGTATTCAAGGGTCAACACCAATTTGTCGGCATAAGGCTCTCAAAAGTGCCTGTTCCAATCAACTAAAGATTTCTCCAACTCACTCAGAAATCAGGGTCTACAAGACAAAACATCTTCTTCTGTTTTTTAGGGTGCGTTTATTCGAGAAGAATAAA